TAAATACTTTGTTGGGTCTGACGTGAGTATTTCGAGGAGTTAGAAATGGAATGGCAAAGTTAATATAGCCTCCATAGAATGGTAGAGGGTATAAAAAAGATTCCCCAAAAAGGCCTTGAGTTGACGACACTCCTAGGACGTGCAGGAGCATAGATCCATGCAGGATCTTACTAAGTACACACTTTTCAATAGTTTGAATTAATTACAAATGGCGCCCAACGTAATAGCTAAGGCTTTTAGATGCTCACATGGCGCCCAATTTTAAATATTAGAAAGGTTCGCTAAAGAACCAAAGAATGCTGCATTTACGACAGGTAGTTCAGGATTTAGCTTCAAGCAATTGGATATTGTTTCTCACAAACACATATTTCCGGAGCTTTAATTAATTCCAAATGGCGTCCAACGTAGAAACTGTGATTTTTGGAAACTTTTTATTTAACATCAGCCAAGGTAAGGTATTTTATAGCCACTTATAAATGCGGCCTGATTATTTAATGACGCCCAACCTGAAAAATGGGAATAATTCTCCGAAGTTCGGCCTTTACTAATTACAAATGGCGCCCAACGTAGAAACTGTGATTTTGGGAATCTTTTTATTCAACATCAGCCAAAGTAAGAAATTTTATAGGCACGACAACGGCGCCCATAAATGTGGTCTGATTATTTAATTGGGCCCAACCTCAAAATGGGTGTAGTTCCCGAAGTCTTAAGTTGGAAATGGCGCCCAACGTAAAATCTATCACAAACTCATTTTTGAAAACTTATTATTTCAAAGAAGTTATTTTACAATCATTTAGGATTATTTATACTCTTAAATGGCGCCCAACGTGAAATATGACAAAGATTCTCTAAAGATCATAGGGAAGTTTGAGTTGGGTTTGGAAACTTTTTATTGAACGTCAGTCAGGGTAAAATATTTTATGGGACTCATAATGATGGTAGGATAATTATTTTAATGACTCCCAAAGTGAATAATAGAGCCCAACGTAGGAGCTGTGATTTTGGGAAACTTTTTATTCAACATCAGCCAAAGTAAGATATTTTAAAGACACAACTGCGGCACTCATGAATGTGGTCAGATTATTTAATGGCATCCAACCTGAAAACTGGGAGTAGTTCCCGAAGTCTTTACAAGTTGGAAATGGCGCCCAACGAAAAGATATAACAAACTCATTTTTAAAACCTCTTCATTCAAAATCAACCAAAATAAGGTATTTTACAATCATTTAGGATTATTTATACTCTTCAATGGTGCCCAACGTGAAATATGAGAAAGATACTCTAGAGATCATAGGGAAGTTTGAGTTGGGTTTGGAAACATTTTATTGAAAGTCAGTCAAGGTAAAATATTTTAGGTCACTTATGTAGGTGGTAGCATAATCATTTTAATGACTCCCAAACTGAAAACTGGTCGTAGAAGTGAAGACTTTAATAATTGGAAATGTCGACCAACGTAGAAGTTAAAAGAATTGCATATTTGAAACCTTTTAATTCAATTTTTTTAATTAAATGAAAAATATTTTACAGTTATCACTGCAGCTCTCATTAAGGATTTAGGCGCCCAACGTCAAATACGAGAAAGGTTTCCTAAGGATGCTAGGAATTCTGAGCTGACGACAATCCTAGGTCGTTGAGAACTCAGAGAGAGCTATTTTAAAATGACTCTCCAATTTTATAAAGAGTGAACGAAGGAGATAGAGAGGGAGCGCGTGCTAACAAACATTAGAACATTTTTTGCAAATGAACTATACATCTCTTCTTTTATTTTTTAAAAGGTGTCACTAGATAAGATAGGCGTCTCTAATTGCGCCAAGATTAGATATGGGGTGTTTAGATTTATAAGGGTTCTATAGATTAGATATTTACGCTATACAAAAACAAAACGATTACTTTGTTAAACCTATCTCACAATTTGAGAGGAATGTTTATTTATTTACTTATCGGACCCCTACGGCGCACCAAATCAAATAAAACAATTTATAATATAGTTTACCTAAATGAAAACTATGTATTCGTACACACAAAAATGGAACCCAAAATTAATAATGAAACATTACCATACTCAATTTTCCATAGTTCCCCGAAGTTTGGCCTTTACTAATTACAAATGGCGCCCAACGTAGAAGCTATGATTTTTAGAAACTTTTTGTTCAACATCATCAAAGTAAAATATTTTATAGGTTCAACTACGGCACTCACAAATGTGGTCTGATTATTGAATGGCGCCCAATCTGAAAATATGGGAATAGTTCGCCGTTCATTTAAAATTAACCAAAAGAAGGCATTTTACAATCGTTTAGGATTATTAATACGCTTTAACATTACCATACTCAATTTTCCACTATGAAATAAATTTTCCATTGCTTATCTATCGCTCTCAAGCCTCCAACCATAATATAAGAATTTAAACATTTACTAGGCCAATTAAATTATAATTGATTAAACATCTACAGAATGAAAAAAGCAAAAAACTTCCTTAATAAAAAGCAGGGCGTTCTGTGATAAGGAAAATCAATGCAATGTAGGAGAAAGAGTATATTAGGCCTATAATCGTGGATTCCTATATTCTTTGTTTTTTAGAAGAGTAGCTCTGTGTACTTTTGTGAATTTTTCATTGAAGCTATCAGAACGACCTTCTTTAAAATGAATTTAGATGAATTTTCAGATTTGGAGATTCTTAGTTCTCACTTCCACTTCTCAAGAGAAAATGTAAAAAATATACCTATACTATACTCTCAGCCATATGGCTTGAGAAGGTATATATCATTTGATACGGCCAAAAAGTGCCCAGTCAAAATAACGGTTTTAGATCCTAGGTCTCTTTGGACCAAATCTGTTTCAGAACTTTTGGAGTCGATCTAGCGATGTCCGCCCGTTTGTTTGTCTGTCTGGCTGGTGCGCACGATAACTCTCGAAGGGAATATCCGATTTGTTCCAAACTTTCTACATCGTAATATTATTATTAAGCTTACACCGGGTTCAGAGATAGGCAGTATCAGTTCACTCCTTCTGGTACCTCCCCCACAAAATATCAACATTTTCAAAGAAAATAATTTACTGCACAGAAAGAGAAAGGATCATCCGATTTTGCTCCAACTCTGCGAATCCTAACAATTTCATCAGTGCTAGGTCAGGTACGAAAATAGACAATATCGGTCCACTCCATTAAGTACCTTCACCACAAAAGTTCGATATTTTCAATAACTATAACTCTTATAAAATGTGATGTAAGTGTCCGATTGACTTCAAATTACACAGATCACAATATTTTTTATTAACCCAAGCACTGGTGTGAAATGCGGGTACATAGGTCCACTCCCTCTGGTACCTCCTCCACAAAGGGTCAACATTTTGAATAACCATTAAGCTCATAAAATGCGAAATTAACATTCGATTCCATTCAGACTTGGCACATTCCAATACTTCTATCAACACAAGATCTGTTATAAAGATGGTACAGGTCGGACCATTCCTTCTGGTACCTCCCCCACAAAGGGTCAAAGTTTTGAATAACCAAAACGATCATAAAAACCGAAATAAGCATCACGTTCTCTTAAAATTACACACATCCCATTATTTCTACATACACAAGATCTGCTGTAAAGATGAGATATATCGGTCCACTACTTCTGGTACCTCCCCCACAAAGGCTCAAAATTTTTAATATCCATGAAGCTCATAAAAAGCGAAATCAACATTCGATTCCATTCCAGACTTAGTTCTTCCCAATATTTCAATCAACACAAGATCTGTTATAAAGATGGTGAGATCGGACCATTTCTTCTGGTATCTCTCCCACAAAGGGTCAACGTTTTGATTAACCACAGCGATCATAAAATCCGAAATAAGCATCTGGTTCTCTTCAAATTACACACATCGCAATATTTTTATTAACTTTCTTTACCCTCCACCATTCGGAAGAAATTTGAAAATTTTCCAAAAAATTCCCTCGGAAAATACAGCTTAAATAAAAGCCGTTATATGGGGGCTATACGAAGACGTCGTCCTCTTGTAGGGAAAAAAGTACTCACAAGGAACTCCTTATAAGGATTTCAGACAATTCCATTAAAAACTGTGGCTAAAATCATCAAAATACCGAATATAGGTGAGGGGTACGGTTACATGGGGGATATAGGATATCGTAGACCTATATAAATAATTCTCTTTAAGGAGGTAAAGTATTTATAAAGAACTCCTTGTGTAGAATTTCAGACAATTCCATTGAAAACTGTGGCTAAAATCATCAATAGACGGAATATAGGTGGGGGTACCGTTATATAAGGGATTTGCGATATCGTGGACCTATATAGAGAATTCTCTTTAAGAGGGTAAAGTACTCATAAAGAACTCCTTGTGTAGAATTTCAGACAATTCCATTGAAAACTGTGGCTAAAATCATCTAAATACCGAATATAGGGAGGGGTACTGTTATATTGGGGATATACGATATCGTGGACCTATATAGACAATTCTCTTTCGGGGGGTAAAGTACTCACAAAGAACTCCTTGTGTAAAATTGTCAGCCAATTTAGTTGTAAAATGTAGCTAAAATCATCAAAATACCGAAAATCGGGAGGTGCCTTTATATGGGGGATATACCATATCTGGGGCCGCTATAGCCCATCTTCGAACTTGACCAGCCTGTAGACAAAAGACAGATCTGTGCAAAATTTTAGCTTCCTATCTTAATTGGTTTTGACTGTAGCGTGATTGCAACATACGGACAGACGAACGGACGGACAGGGCTAAGTCGTCTTAGAACTTTACGCCGATCAAGAATATATATACTTTGTTGGTTCTGAAATTATTATTTCGATGAGTTACAAACGGAATGACGAACCTAATGTGCCCTCCATGCTATGTATGGTTGGCTGGTATGGCTGACGCCTACATCAAAATTGAACCCTCCTCCCTCACCAATTTTCAATGACAAAAAAATCTCCATACTTTTATTACGCCATTCAACTTTCATTGTTCTTCAGTCCAGTGCAAACACCTACCTTCAATTCGTCCGGCTGCACAAAGTCCACAATTTTCTCATGCCATTCCTGGGGATCGGCACAGAATGCCTTCTCATCCACCAACATTTGATGGATGGAACTTAAGACTTTCCAATCGTTGGCCAAATTGAGACGTATCTCTGACACCTCTTTAGGCGTTGTTTGCTGCTGTTGGCCGGCTGTGGTATTTTTTGATGGGTTAATTGTGGCACTGTTAGCGGTCGTCGACGACGACATTCTGAGGCTATTGCCGGAATTCGAGGTAGCATTGCACGACAACATAATGAGTAGCTTTTATCACTTGTTTTTTTTTTCTTTTATTTTGCGAATTCTTTTTCGTTTCGTTTTTCTGTTTCAAAATTTCATTTAAAATTATTTCAAATCGCAATAACAACCGCCTGATTCAAGGTACGCGAACGTTATGACATCTCAGAATACTTGAAAGTTTTACCAAAGCTATGTTTTCCGTGTATTATCACTACTATGCTCGTTGCTGTTGCTGTTGAGCTCATTGCTCTAAATATCAAAGGGCCTCGCTCTCGCCTACAATTGATTGCAGATTGCTAAGTGAATACAGAACAGACGAACCAACCGACCACATTCCCCACCCGAGTCATTATCATTTTGCATTGTACAATTCCAAAAAACAACAAATATTGTTTGGCAAGTGCTAGCCAGCATTTATGACACCGTACACGCTCCCCACTCGCTCATTCACTACACACCATCGTTATGTTGAATATTCAAGCGGCGTATTCTGGTTAGACCAACGCCAACAACAACAGCAAAGAAGAACGAAGAGTAGCAGTTTACTTTCATTGGAGACAAAATCCAAAAGAAAACCACAAATTATTTCACTTGTTTACCTCAATGCACAGTGGGCTAAAATGAGACAAAGTGAGGACAATTAGATCGAAAACGAGTGACGGCGAAGGAACTCTTGAAGTGATGAACTGGACCAAAAGGGATTTCCAAGTTTGAGCTGGAGGACTAGAGATCATATGTTTTCACAGATGGACCAAACAACTTATAGTTTCCAAACTGGCCCGCGTTTCCGGCCAGAGGGCCTATATTTCAAGAGATGGCCAGGAACGGGAACCAGAAAGTCTAAATTGCCACAGACGGGGGCTAGAGAGCCCATATTTGCAGAGACGAGCTAGAACGCGGGCCAGAGAGTCTATATTTCAAGAGATAACCTGGAACGCGGACCAAAGAGTCGATATTGTCACAAACGCGGGCGAGAGAGCCCATATTTGCATAGACGAGCTAGAAAGCAGGCCAGAGAGTCTATATTGCCATAGACGCGGACGAGACAGCCCATATTTCCATTGACGAGGCAAAATGCGGGCCAGAGAGTTCATTTTTCAAGAGATAACCCGGAACGCGGACCAGAGAGTCTATATTGATACAGACGCGGGCCAGAGAGCTTGTACTTCCACAGACGCAGGTGAGAGAGCCCATATTTCCATAGACGAGCTAGAACGCGGGCCAGAGAGTCTCTATTTCAAGAGATAACCGGGAACGCGGATCAGAGACTCTATATTGTCACAGACGCGGGCGAGAGTTTCCATATTTCCATAGACGAGCCAGAACCCGGGCCGGATAGTCTATATTGCCACAGACGCAGGCGAGAGAGCTCATATTTCCATAGACGAGCTAGAACGCGGGCCGGCGAGTCTATATTTCAAGAGATAACCCGGAACGCGGACCAGAGAGTTTATATTGTCATAAACGCGGGCCAGTGAGTCTATATTGCCACTGACGCGGCCAGAGAGCCCATGTGTCCACAGATGAGCGAGAACGCGGCCCAGGGAGTTTATATTGTCCAGACGCGGGCCAGAGAGTCCATATTTCCATAGACGAGGCTGTAACGCTGGCTAGAGAGTCTATATTTCAAGAGACCAGCTGGAGTACCAACCAGAAAGTCTATATTTGCACAAACGAGCTGGAGTGGGGTCAGAGAGTGTCCATTCCAAAGATGAGTTGGAACTTTGTTCGGAGAGTCTACATATATTTTCACAGAGAACCTGGAATGTGGGGCAGATACTCAATTTTTCCACAGAGCAGCTCGAACCCGAGCCAAACCAAAACAACAGACAAATACTGAACTTATCACTTTGGAAACAGAGCCTGACCAGTTTTGAACAGGGATGGCAATTTTTAAGTATGATCGGAAATGGATTGTGGGAGGCTATTTGGACTTCCTTATCTCTCATTTAAACACCACCCCAATCACGGCTAACAAATCTGTCTTCCAGACATGGAAGTCTATAAATGCCTACAGAGATGGGAGTTTTTATGTAGTACTGTTGTGGGAAGATGGATATATTTTTATATTGCTAGATATTGCATTAGTAGTCTTCCAGGTCTAGAAGTTATATTTGCCACCAGAGATTGGTAGCCATCTCTAGCAATCTTTAAAGATTTCCATTCTTGGCAGTCGGACTATCAATTCTGGATAAAGTGTTTATATAAAAAGAGAGATTTTGAAAATCGATAGGAGATGGAAGTTTTACTCACTCCCATCTCTGGTAGCAATGACATGATTCCTACTATAGACAGAATTCCTTTCAATCGACCACAGATGGATGTCTTTATAAACAGGGTGAGAAAAAACAACTGCAACAAATACAAACGCCATATTTTTTTAATTTTATTGAATGAAAGCAAAAAAGTCGGAAATAGCATCAAATTTCAGAATAAGTTTAGATTTGTCCGAATTGGTCACCTTTGGCACGAATTATGGCCTTCAAACAGCCAATGAAACCATCACAATCTGTCCGAATGTTACTCTGCGGTATTTTGGCCCATTCCCGACGAAGTGCTTGCTTGAGGTGATCGATGTGGGACTTTTTATAAAGTTTCGATCAAGATGGCCATTGATGTGTTACCATACCGACATTTACGTTAGTCAATGAAAGATTAACAACAGAAGACAATGTTTATATGCTGCCAGAGACGGAAGTCTGTATAAAGTACTAGCAATGGGAGTCTATACATAACCAGTGATAAATGCATTTATTGATATTTGTGGTTTCATTTATGGAAAATATGAAGATCAGAGATGTGTAACTACCGGGGATGGAAGTTATAAGATGTGATCAGGGATGGGAGTTACTATACACTTTTTTTGGTTGACTTTATTGAAGCCAAACTATGAAAATAAAATACAGAAATATGGACCACATATCAATTTATGAAGAGATTTGTAAAGCCTCTGCCAGAGGCAGAGATTTGGGAGTCTTTCTAAATCGCTAAAAGTGGAAGTCTTTGTAAAAGACCATACATTCATGCCTTTATAGACTACTACAGCTGTTTGTCCGTATTTAGAATCTGAATAAAGTTCCAGAGATGGGAGTTGTATTAAAATTTCTTTATAAATGACCTTGGACGTATGGCCTTACCGACATTTGCGGTAGTCAATAAAAGAAGGCAATATTTATATGCTACCATAGACGGAAATCTGTATAAAGTACCAGCGATGGGAGGCTTTATACACAACCAGTGACGCATGCCCTTATGATATTTGTGGTTGTCAATTAAGGAAAATTACAGAGGTATAAGACAACCGGGGATAGAAGTTATAAAATTTGATCAGAGATGGGACTATGAAAATTAAATACAGAAGTGTAGACCAAACTACAAGTTATGAAGGTTTTGTAAAGCCTTTGCCAGAGATGGGAGTCTTTCTAAATTACTAAAAGTGGAAGTCTTTGTAACAGACCATAGATTGATGCCTTTAGAGACTACTAAATTTGCCTGTCCTTATAGGATATTTAGAGATGTGAATCTGAGTGGAGTTCCAGAGATGGGAGTATTTATATACGGCCTGTAATTCATAGCTTTACTGACATTTGTGGTTGTCAATAAAGGATTTATGTTTCTGCAGGCTACAGTAGCAGACCATCTTTATACATTAACAGAGATGGAAGTCTGTATAAAGCACCAGAGATGAGAGATGGGGACAGACAACCATTCATACATGCCTTCATCGATATTCGTATCAGTTAAGGCATTTTATCACTGGTATGAGACTATTCGGGATGGACGTTTTTTTAAATAATCAGGGATGGGAGCATAGCATTTTTTTGGTTGAATTTAATAAAGCCTAACAATGAAAATAAAATACAGAAATGTAGACCAAACTACAAGTTATGAAAGTTTTGTAAAGCCTTCGCCAGAGATGGGAGTCTTTGTAACAGACTATAGATTGATGTCTTTATAGACTACTACAGCTGGTTGTCCTTATAGGATATTTAGAGATGTGAATCTGAGTGGAGTTCCAGAGATGGGAGTATTAATATACGGCCAGTAATGTATGTCTTTACTAACATTTGTGGTAGTCAATAAAGGATTCATGTTCCTGCAGACTACCACAGAAGGCAATGTTTATACACTACCAGAGACGGAAATCAGTATAAAGTACCAAAGATAGGAGATGGGGATAGTCAACCATTCATACATGCCTTTATTGATATCCGTATCAGTTAAGGCATTTTATCACTTGTATGAGACTATTCAGGATGGACGATTTTTAAAAAGATCAGGGATGGGAGTCTCTATGCTCTCCAGTTTGGTTAGCTTTATTAAGAAACCAACTGAATTAAAATAAAATAATATAGGCCAGACTACAAGTTATGAATGTCTGTAAAACCTGCCAGAGATGGGAGTTTTTATAAAGTACTATAAGTAGGACATTTTTTTTAAAAGATCACAGATTGTTGTGTTTTTTGACTAACACACATGACAGAATTGGTAGAGTGTTTAGCTCGAAATTTGAATAAAAATCCAGAGATAGGAGTCTTTATATGCCGGTGATGCGTGCCTTCACTTTAAATGCCTACCAAGGATGACACATATTTTAGACTACCATAAATAAATAAAATACCAGATTTGGACCTTTTTATTGACTACCAGTAGTGCCTTTTGTAGATTGCCAAGGGCGGGAGTTATCGACTACCATCAGGGATGGGAGTTACTTTAGAATTTCTGGAATGGTGGTGTTTCTTGAAGACAGACAATCAAAATGAACCACAAAAATGTGGACTTTTTGGATCCCCAAAGAGAAACGCCTTTATGGCCCACCAGAGATGGAAATCTACATCACCGTAAATGTGAAACATGTGCCTTGCAGAATTTCTAAAACATATCTGTTCATTCATTCCCAACATAATGTGATAACATATCAAAAAAAAATTAACAAATTAGACGGGGCACATTTTTTCGTTTTTTTTTTTTTTTTTTTGTTTTTTGAGAACCAAAACGAATTGACCTTTGCTTATCGTATTTCGAACAAATGCTACATTTTTCAAAAGATTTTTTTGGCGCTTCTTCTAAAATAAAATATGTCCGCACATTAATTTGTCATTATGAATGTATTTTTTTTTTTTTTTTTTTTTGCTACTCAGCAAACAAAAGTCAAAGTCACAGAATTTCACTGTCAAATTTGATTGCTGATAAGGATTTTGGGATGCATTGAAAGCAATGTTTTTTTGGGCTGACATAATCGGGAATTGAAATAACGAAA